TGTAAGAGATTTTTTTTCCACCTAGAACTCAGATTGTGTTAGTTAAAAACAATGACACAATCACTATGAACAGTAAGTTTTGAGTCAGGAGGGTAAAAAACACTGAAGATTTGAAAAACTGTCATTTTTTGATTTACTGCCCCCAAATCAGTCTGTGTACACACGCACACATACACATACACACACACACACACACACACACACACAATCCTTTCTGAGTTAATGCAAATTGAAGGCACTCCTCAGAAGAAGTCTGTACTTACAGGACAGCATTTTTGTCCAGCGTACTTTAATGGTCAGAACTTTTTTTACATCACTCAGAAAAAAATGTAGTGAAAACTCACAAGGACCTTACGTCAACAGCAGCAAAAAAAAAAATCAGAGAAGAATCCAATGTGACATTCAGGTCTCAGCTTACGTAATTGTACCTTTTTATTATTACAACAGTATGAGTTAAGGACAGGGTGTCAGACTTAACTCTGAATTTCCTTGCTTTATTGGATTAATTCTGAAAGTAAGATACTTAGTGTTACTTCACCCAGAGAGTAGTTTGAGTAGTTTAAACACTAGCAATTTCTTTTTGAGTGATGGAGAATGTAGAGGGAATTTAATGAGAGCTCTTTAAAAGGTTTCTTTCCATTTATCCCTTCATATTTTTATTGTAGGGAGAGATGGCACACTTGTCTAATACAGCTCCATCTTAAATGCTATCATCTACTAAATTCATTACATAAATATCTATGAATGTTGAACTACACCTGCCATTTACTCGGTAAATCAATATTCACTATCGTTATCATTATCCTTTAGAGCTAAAGGCTCTACTATTAGCATTTAAAGCTCTATTCAAGGGCTTATCAGGCTACGTGTTTTATAAAGACACATAGGGCACAGACAGAAGTTACATCTGTTGCGCAACTGGCACCTTGAAAGTGCTCTACAGCCGTGCCCTTATAGAAAGGCATGGCTGTAGAGAGCTTTAAAAGTGCCTGATCACACAACAATCTGAACCCTCATTACATGGGGGTTCAGATAAAGGTGCTCCAGAGCAGAGTGCTTTCATTAACTTCTGCCAGCATGTGCCAGAAGCAGGGCTGGGTTGATGCAGCCCAGTCCCACCCCTAGTGCTGTCTTCAGAATGGGAGGGGGAGAAGGGAGGGGAGGGAGTCCCATCTGGGGTTTGTCCAGCATGCTCGGGGGGAGCTGCAATCCCCCCACCTCGCCTTCCAGTGTGGGCTGGGAAAACCTCAGACCAAGCTCCCTTCCTTCCCTTCCCCCATCTCCATTCTGAAGATGGCACTGGAGCCAGCGGAGGTGAGCAGGGGAAAACTAGGGGACAGCATCTCAGATATGCAGCTGCTTAAAACTGAAGCTCGATCCCCTGACCCTTTGGACTCAACAGCAAACATCTATTGGGTTGGGGGAACACTAACTCATGGCATTTCCTGTAAAATGCCATGAGTTACAGCGGGAAACTGCAGATCCATGATTTCAAAGACACATGGTATACACCTTTGATCCCCACTTCTCAGCTTGTATTCTAAGAAAAAAGCTGCATATATGAAGGAGGAGGTAGATCTAATGAAATAGGTACCATTTTTTATGCAAATATAATATTTCTTATTTGTTTTTCCTTTCAACAATTATAAATAGATAAAATACCAATTGCTCCTTACTATCATTAGTTAGGCCAAGGGTAAAATTGTTAAAGCCCCTGAGGTGATTTAAGAGCACAAACCCTATTTGAAACTTTTCAAAACTGCTCAGTTTACACATGGCTTTGAACTGATTTAAATGTTTCTAGAAATGGTCTGATTTTCTACCAAAGTAATTTAATGGATACAACTTCTAGTGTGAATGCAAGTTTATAATGGTAGAAGTGCTTTCTACCAACATAAGTTGTTCCTCTTCTCTTATGGCAAAAATTGCATTAAAGTAATATCTTTGACCACTATATCCGTATTGACAGGGAGGTATAATTGAGAGATATTTTAATTATACCAGTACAATTAGAATACTATAATTTTGTGCATATACAAATGCTTCCAGGCCTCCTACTAGAAGTAGACTGAGGAGGTGTTCTGAAATACCGTAGGATGGAAGACAGTGTAGAAACATTTGCCTGAAAAGATGAGGGGGGAGTGGACAAATTTAAGCCTATTTTTGGTACACCAAAAATTTGGAGTGATGACTGATTTTTCCACTCAACAAATCTGAGTTTTCCAAAGAAACTAGTATCAGAGTTTTCAGTTTTCCCACCTTTCCCATACACTTCCATACCTTTCCTTCTTTGTAACCATGTTCCTGTCTCTTAGCCTCACTATAATCATTAAAAAGCACATCTTATTAAAAAAGAATAGAGGTCAATGTATTCCAGGAAGCTAAGTTACATTTTTCTAGATGTACATTTTCCATTCTTACTGGCTATGAAAAATTGTATTTTCAAACATATATTCAAATAGAAAAAAATATTCCTTGGCTGTGACAGCCCTTGCACCTTTTTTCTTTTCTAGTGTCCATAGTCATTTATGCAAATTTATTATTTGTTTCAAAGAATGTTTAAACAAAGACACAGGACCTGGTCCACCACTTTCTCTAACATGACTGTTGATTTCACGTCCACTTCCTCTTTGCCTACATGCCCTCCAATGCCATTCCTTTCTGTTACATGTACTTGACTTTGTTGGTTTGGTTTGAAGTTGAGGAATCAAAATACTTCTTCATGTTATTTTGTACCCAGCTGCAAACAGATAATACATTTCTGGCCCAGTTTCCAAGACAAAGCATTTTCATGTTCATTCTTATATGTTTCAGAAAGTTTCCAGATTTATAGATGCATATCTAAAAACACGCCGCTACCCTTTGTCCATTGGTATTGGCCTTTAAAGAACAATTTCTTGTCTGCTGGGAGAAAATTGAGCTAATACCTATTTTCTGTCAGTTTTTGGGGAAAAAATAATAATATTAAAACTGAGATTCTGACAGTCCAAAGGCAAGTTGATCCAAATGCTGGACACTAGAACCCTAAGGTCTCAGCCTTCAACCCACTTATTAGAATTTGGGATTTACTGTTACTTTGTATAGCAGGGGATTACTGGAATGAATCACCTTACTTCCCCTTAAGATTTGCCCAGGCATGTGATTTGTGTCTGCTAAGCTGGTATAATGATGAACAATCCTTTTTATTAACATGGTTTAAAAATAGAAACTGCAGTAAGACCTTACATAAACTAGAAGTAACACGTGCCAACTTATGCCCAAATCTCCCAGTGAGCTGTTTAGGTCTATGAGATGTTGGTATCGAACGAACAAGATGATTGTTTTTGAGAAAACAGGGACCATACACTAGGAAGCTACTCTTGTGCTCTTCTCCAAATATTAAAGCACAAGGTCATGCCTTTCCTCTGCATACTTTTCCCACAAAATAATTTAATAGTGTGTGTATGTATGTGTGAAAACAGAAATTGTCACATTCAAATGCGCATGCGCACACACACGCGCGCGCGCGCGCACACACAGGTTCCAATGCTTCTCCCTCATTTGGGAGTGCCTTGCGTTACTAACCAAGAATTAGCAAAACCGCAAGGGTTGCAAATATATCCATCTGCTAATAGATGGGGTCATGGAGGTTGAGACAGTTCTAGCACTCAACTGAAAGTCCAGCATGAGGCCAGGCATATGAAAACCCATGGGAGTTAAATGCTCATCTGCATAACATACCATAATGGCTCTAGTCCCATTTTTTTAATCCTATCCAGGAATTTTATTCTTCATTACTCTTTTGTTATTACAATGTGTTTCCAGAATTATCTTCTTTATCCCCAATATAATAACAACAGTAATTAAAGCATTTTCTCTTTTTCCCTAGAGTTCTAAAGGAACATAAAGTAATACCACCTTCCTCTGGCCCAGTAACTTGCCTACAACAATAGCTAATAAACTGGGAACAGGCAGCAATCCCCAAACTAATGTTAGCATATCCAGCAACAGTGAGAATGTTTGCAAACTGTTATTTCTCTGGATAACACTAGAGTATCCAACACCAGTATCCTACAGTATGTGATTCAGTCTTCAGCACATCCAATTTAGTTTATAGGAGCACAGCACTTTTCAGCTTGCAGAAAACAGAACACGTGAAAAAACTGCCTAACATTTGCTTTCTATTATTAGAGGTGACCTGGCCTTTTAAAATATTTTAGTTAACATATTTAGGCCTTTATCCTTAAATCTGTTCCACATGAGCCATTCGACATCTAGACCAACACAGAACTCTACTGACTCATGGGGACTCTGGAAAGGCACAGGTGTTCAACCACACAGCTCTGGGAAACACTAGCACTGAACATTTAGACTATGGTAGCACCTAGAGGCAGACCTGGTGAAGGCCTCATTATGTTGGCACTGTACAAGTTGATAGCCAGTGACAGTCCCTGCCCCAAACAGACATATCTGTGCCTTGTGAAGTATGTTTTAGAATGTGTTTTAATGAGCTATATTACTGACTCATGGCCTACAACCAAACAACTTAGAAAAACATCTCCTTAAAAAAATTATATGAGAAAAAAAGACAGCTTTTCCTTATATCTTGCCTGTTCCTAGTAAGTTTATAGAACAAATTAGCAATGCAATCATGAGAAAAAGAATTGGAGACTTCTCCAAGCTGTCGAGTGCATTTTACTGCATGATTAATTGGCAATGGTCTGGCCAACCCTTGGGTCCTGCTAAAGGCCAGGCCCCTTGACATGCACCTGCCACTGTATGACTGATTGCAGAAAATGGATGTCTTCACATTTTTTGCAGCTGTTAAACTGCTTTAAGGAAATCTTATTTATCTAGAACAGAAACTTGAACTTCTCTAATCTCTGGAGGATAAAATGAATGTAATTCTCTGTCTCAAACTGACTTGTGGAAGTAATATTTTAGACTCTTTAGAAAAGCTGTGATAACTGGACATTGTTTTTGCCTTCCTTGTATATTTGTTTTAGTGTTGTTTGCTTCCAGACCTCCTCTTCTTTTTGGTCTAAGATACATTGTGCCAGCAAGTAGTCGGCCTCTATCATCTGGAAACCAAAATTTTGCTGCCTTGTTCAGGGGAGTAGCACCCTACCCAGTGAATGGTAAGTTCAATGGAATAACTTATGAAATAAGTTGCTACTGCTTATGAATAGAGTGGCAAAGGTAGCCATGAGAAAGGGAAAAAATGTGTAGAATGATCCATCAGTGTCAACTACGCCTGGGAAGATGGCACAAGGAACTTCGGAATTCCCTAAGAAAATGTTAAGCGGAATTCTAAAGGAATTAAAACTATCCTTTTGTTGGCCAAGAAAACTCTAAAGAGCTATGTGAATTTATTAATTTTACCATTATAGTGAGCATCAGACAAACAGCATAAGACCCTGTTTCTTCAGCTGACAACATTTGAAACCACATGGCTTCACTGGGCCTATTCATGATCTGAGTAAATTGCAAGATTGAAGGCTAATTTTGACATGACACACCATGTTCAGAAACCTTTCTGAGTCTTCAGGATGTTTTGCCTGGGTAGGGACTGCAGGCTTTAGTCCTATTGTCTTGTTTATATTTTTACCCACCTAAAATATTCCTGGAATTGCTCTATTTAGCCATACTGTGCTATTTGAAATATAGCTTTTCATGTAATAAATGTCAAGGGTCAAAGCAACAGCTAAGATAAATACTGCCCCATTAATTTCAGTCTTATTTCCTCATTGAAAACACTACAATGCACAGTATAGCTCAGAATATTTATCAAATCATATGCAACAATTAGAAGGCTTCATCTAAAAAAAAGCAGAAATATTTTGTTACTCCTCTTAAATGTTTCATATCTCCTTCAGCAGTGATTTTGATCCTCTCAATAGTATTAGATTTAACAGCCAAAAGGATTATGGAGCTTGCATTCTGCTTTTCGCAATCTCTTCCAGGCTTATTTTCCTCATTATGAAAACAAAACAGGACAAAGAAACTTTGTTTCTGCTTTATGTTTCGTGGTAGAAATCTACTACTACTGGCCTGTACTCTAATTATTGTATGTGACTACTTAGTTGAGTTTAGATGTCATACTATGAACTTCTAAAGAAATGCTCCCATCATTCTGGCTGGCTTGCACGGTAGATGCCAGATGCATTTAATCTCTTAGGAACCATATTTTAAAATTAAATTGGGTTATGAACATGTATGCCTGCAAATAGACTTTTGTTTTTCTTCTGCAGGATCTCACCCACAATAATCCTTAGCATGCAACTCTAGAACTTGACAGGATTCAGTGGACTCTTCTCTTATTTGGCTCTTGTCCCTTCTCTGTTCAAAATCAGGCTCTTTCCAAATCTTATTATGTCTGCTTGTGTAACATTTCCTAATATTTGCCTCCCTTGTCCATCCAACTTTCCGAATTCCTGATTTACACCTCATATGGACTTTCTTAATTGTACCTTTTCCACCTTCTCCAAGTAGCCAATATGTGGCGGCTAAGATTACTTTCCTCTAATCCTGGGGTAGCCAAACCATGGCACATGTGCCAGTGGCATAGGCAGGCTCTGTATGTGGCATGCACCGATTAGGGAGGGGACAGGCAGCACAGTAGCAGGTAGGACAGGCAGCTGAAAGCAGAGCAGCAGATTGGGCAGGGAGGACAGGGTAGAGAGCAGAAAGCAGAACTTCAAATCAGGCAGGGGAAGGAGATTGGAGTGGCAGTCAGGGAGGGCATGTGGGTTAATTTGTGGCACACCTGCCCCAATGCATTAGTCCTTGCATCCTATCCCTTTACATACATTTAACACCCTTAATCATCACAGCTTTGTCTCACAGATGGCATCGGCCTTGGTTATGTTCATCCTGTTTCCCGTGGTTTCTCACCTTCCCCTGATATTTGTCATTCTTTTTCCTTTACCACATACTTCCTGCCACTCACAACTTCATACTATTTTCTATTCTGCCTATACCTTGAAACAGCACAACATGATCTCAGCTCTGAAAACTGTCCACGTCATAGCCAAGCATCCTCATTTTAAGTTTGTCCAAAAAAATCCCTTCTTTCACTTCGTTTTCCACCGCAGACTTCCATTCCATCACATATGGTCTTCTCTTCTCTTCTGTTCCTTCACTGAAATATGAACTTTCATGACCTTTGCTCATTGTATAACAACTGCTTGTGGTATTTCTGCTTATTTAAGCTTTCTCTACCTCCTGGTTGCCTCATTTCATACTTTAGGTTTGGCTAATTGTTGTAAGGGTGGGAAATTGTTGGACCAATAATTAAGCATTTGCTTAGCTTCCTGAAGGAGATAATGGAATCAGATTATTGCTTCTTAGTTGTCATGGGACGTTATTTTTTATGTATTTTACAATTAGTTTCAAGTCATCTTAGGCCAAATCCCATTTCACATTTACATACCTAAATGTCACTTTTGTCGCTACACTTGTCCTACACTTCCAGTCTGAGCACATTCAGAAGGCTGCATTATGCCAGAACAGAGTTGCCCAATGATGTGTGCAAGTTTGCATTAAGTCATTGAAACTTTAGCTGGAGAAAAACCATGACTAGCAACTGATGCTGTCCCGTTTCTTACCTGAACAGTCTAATAGTTGGGGCATTTATCCAGGGAGTGGAAGACAAGGGTTGTATTGCCCTCGCTCAACAGGGGTCTGGACAGAAATATCCCACTAACCAAGAAAGTGTTCTAACCACCAGCCTATGGTGAAAGTCTTGTCCAAAGCACCTTCAAGCCTTCTTCTAAAAACTGGCCTACTAGACAGATGAGGGCCAAAGAAGTAGAGGGGGAAACCAGAGTAAATATGGCTCAATGAGCAGGACACTGCTTTGGAAAGGAAAGAAGCCTTGGGTTCTGGGTACCTGGCTCTCTGGATCTTGAGAGCCGCTCTAATTAAAGCAACCACAGCAGCTCATGTATTCAGCATCCCGCGCCTCAAAAAGCAGTGAGGGCATTTTAACTAAAGCTCATTCAATGAGCTGTAGTGAAAGCGCCCCAATGGCCATTCTGATGTAAGGGGGTGCTAAACACACGTGACACCAAGTTTGCTGGAGCATGCTACTTAGCACACTTCAGCAGACTCGATTAGTTGAGTCTGGTAATTAGAACGTGTCAGAGCAGGCATCAGGCACATGTATCGATGCTCAGTGTGATGGAAGTGCATAACTCTGCTCATTGAAAGGAAGAGAGAACATGTGCCTTCCAGGGCAGAAAGGATCATCCTCCTGAGGTGAGATGTGCATTTTTGGCCAAATAGTTGCTAAATCCTGAACATCTAGTAGGTAGAATTTAGCAAGTAGGTAGGCAGTTCAGTATTTAGGTAGAATGGGATCTGGTCCTATATTTAAAAACAAAAATTTCAGATTCTGAAAAAAAAGAAAGAAAATACTTTACCAGCTGGAGTTTTTTAGATCAAATATTGTGAGTTTTGCAATAAACTTTAGAGAGAAAGAAGCATTTTGGATCTATAAATAAAACTCCATGGAGCTTCCATACAGCTAATGTATTTTAAACCTCATGAGATACGAGTAAGAAAAAAGGCCCCAGAAATGTGATCACAGGCAGCTGGGTGGAATGAGGATTTCTGTATTTCTTTCCCTGTTGTGCCACCCTAGTCAAATCTCTTAACCTTTCTGTGTCCCAGTTCCAAAAACAAACACACAGGGGGTGACATGGATGAATAACTTGTGTTTGTAAAATCCTCTGAGACTCTGAGATTAAAGGCCCTGGATAAATGCAGTGCATTATTCTTAGTTTGTATAGAAAATCTGCAGCACACTCTTAAAAACTGTGTGGCATGAACTGTCCGTTTGTTTTTATCTGACTAAACTTGTGCCGAGAGAGGAAAAAAAGGATGCTACGGTCAGCCCACAGAGAAGATAGCCTTAGCCACCATCTGCAACTAATTGAAATGTATGGCTTTTTAAAAAGCAATTTTCTTTAAAATGCAAGAGCTCAGTTGCAGAACAGACCAACTTGTGACTACATGAATAACTGACAGCACACAGTGGGACCTTCCACACAAAAACACAGTTCTCTACTACTTTAACTGAAGTAGATCCATCAGCTATTGAGTGTGGTAAGTTGTTATCTACTAATGGATCAGCCACTCGAAGGGGCTAATGACATGCAGAGCAGGTCTACACATGTGCGGCGGGCACAAACCATGACTCCACAACTATGTCATTTTAGTAATGTGCTCCCTTGGTATAGCACATTGCTACAGCGACGTAGCAGCTAAAAATAATTGTGCGCTGCTTGCACAATGCAGTATGGGCTGTTATGTCCATCATATATGGCCTGCTCCTCATTTAGTACTTCCAAAAAGAAGTACTAAATGATGGCACAGTAACAATGGCACTGTATGGGCATGTGTAGATGCTCCCACGGTCTACCAAAGTGTTACATAAAGTATATTTGCACTGTTAAACATTTGCCAGGCAGTACTCCAGAGAAATGGGTGACATGATTCTAGTCCAAGCTTGGGAAATCCACTGGTACAGTCGGCAAAGGGCTTTGGGGTTTTAGAGTAGAGAGATGCCACTATAGAAATGTAACAGAATATTATCATCGCCATGCTCTACATAGTAAAGCATCCTCATGCTACTCTGTAAATCATCCATAAGATACAGGATAGCATACAGTTTGTATTTACATGGGTGTAAAATAAGAGGTTAGATTTAATTTGTTGTTTCTAAAACAATGCAACAAATAGAAAAACAAATAAGAGAAAAGTGTAAGTTATAGTCAGTCCTTTAAAAGTCAATTTCACCTGTGCATTTAACCATAAAAACAGCATCTGCTCTGCTAAATACAGGTGTTTTATATCCTTGTCATTAATTGGAGGGGACAGTATGTCATCATACATCAACAGTTAAAGTTGGTTAAAGTGCCACTTATCTCAGGTGCTATCATTAATCAGATCCCTTTCATCTGGGCACCCACAGATCCTCTATTAGTAGGTACATTATATGCTTTGAATATTTTCCAGGTTTTTTTTTTTTTTTAACTAGTTTTGAATTAACGTTTTGGAAACTTGACAGAGGCAGCCGTTCCAATCATTCACATAGCAGCAGATCCTGCAGCTCACGCTCATAAAAAAGTTTCCTTGACTAAGAGTTTTGCTGCATTAGGCTTAAAAGATCCAGCCAACATCCCAAAAAAGAATAACATTTGACTCACAAGTGTAAGAGGGCACCATTGTGATATCATTTTTTAAACAGCTTGATACGATTCAAGCAAGAGCCAGGGGCAAAGGCAGAGATCAGAATGAGCTACTCTTGTCTTACTCATGAACTGCTCCCATAATTTGTTTGGCTGTGAACATAGGGGTCCAAAAAGCCCTTCCTAATCCTATGTATGTATGTTCCCATGTATGTATGAAACTTCACAGACAGCTGACAAGCAAACACCTCCTGTGCTGCCAGCCGTAGAGTAGCTGATGCAGACAGAGTTGCCATTGATTTCTTTGGAGCATCCATTATTAATCAGCTGCACTGCACAAGAGCAGACGAGAGGTCCAGCAGCATATGTGTTAATGAATCACACATTAGAACTCTTTTCCTCCACACTGTTTTAAAGGGTGAGGACTGATAAAATTGCAAGGCAGAACACAGCATTACAATGTATTCAGGCTGGCATCCTCTCAATGTGTTTCATTTATCTGCAGGGTGGTATAGAGCATTATGTTATAAAAACCAAGGAAAAATTATGTTTCATCTATCTATCAGTGGCATCTGCGATGGTCATAAGAACTGCATGCAGAAAAACAGCCCATTAGCAATTATTAACTGCAAAACAAAATGTAAGTAAAATAAATTGAGTGTGACATAAAAAAGTAAAGTATTGAATGGATTTTCTTTCCAAGAATTACATAAAGTCAAGTATCTTATTAAGTTCAAGAGAATTACATTTTACATGCTTCCGCAAGAGACATGTACCCTTTAGAAAATAATAATGAACTGCTTTTTTCGCATTCATTTACATACCTTTGATAAATTACTGTAACCAGATTAGGGAGATAAAATAACTAGTCTATTAATTACAATGATTATTATTTAATAGAAAATGGGTTTCTGGGCAATGCGCATGGTAAGAGGAAAGCTTAGCAATGCATTATATGGATGTGGTATTTTATCTTAAAGAGTAAGATAAGTGTCCAGCTCTCCCTGCAATCTAAAGAATATGTTCATTACCTGTGCAAGATTTATAAGTATAATTGTGTGTAATATTTTAAAACTATTTGCTTTATTTCGTAGTACATGGAGAACAAGGCAGGATGGCTTCTTTAATTAAACTGTGTAAATTCCTTAGTGAACTTATCTAACAAGGGTTCCATTTGTAAGAAAATTACTTTTTTTATTTAAAAACTTTGCAAGATCACGTAAGTGCAGACCCTAAATTTAGCTATATTTCCTTTTAAAAGGCTATCCTTAAATGTGTGTGTGTGTACACAATTTTATGTACACATACACAATATATATGTATATTTATATACATACCAACACATATGGGTGGGTGGGTATGTAATGTATAAATAACAAATAAGGAAACGCCAGATTTATATTCTCTCATATAAACTTAATTCTTCCCCTTGTGCATTCATCCTCTGTACTAAATGATGCAGGGTCTTGTAGGGAA